GTTCGCATAGACTTCTACCAATGTTATTGTAAATAGTTAGAATGCGATCTCATGTGTAATATATATAGGCTATGAAAATTGTAAGTGCTCCAGATTAAGAAAGCCATGTCTTTATTTATTAAAAAGGGAAAATACATAAGCAACCAGGAAAAAGACTACAAGAGCGGATCACTGGTCCTCGTCCCCAAGTCCCGGAGGGGCGACCTCAACATCTCGGGCTAGTCGCCGACCACCTGTTCGGGTGCGGGCTCCTTTGGGACATATTCTGGATGCCCTTCTTCCGGGTCAGGTCACTGAGTTGCTTCCTCATCCTCGACTCGCGCCATGGTAGCAAGAGCATCCTAGTACTCATCGAGAAAGTCAAACAGATTGATCTATGGGTTCTTTGACCGAAGGGTGAAGATGGACTGAATCGTCCATTCAGTAACCCTGCTCTCGAGCTTCGACTCCTACTGTTGCATCTCCGCAATTAGCAAAGTGACACGGCCCTAAGTGTATTGGAGCTCGGCCTCAAGTGCTCATCGCTGCTTCTCAGTGGTCTCCCACAACTCGCCCCTTTCCCGCTCTGCTCATAAGGCCCGCTTGGAGTTAGCTTGCAGCTCTTGCTTTCTCTTGCCAACCTCCCTGATGAGTCTGGCCATCATCCTCTGGAGCTCCTTCACTTCCTTTACGTGCTTCTCCAGCCCGGCCTTTTGAAAGTCTACCGTGCAAAGAGCAGCGTTCTTTTCAGAAAAATACTGGTTCGCCTGAACGGTCGACGAGTCCCTCTCTGCTCATACGGCTTCTAATTCCTACGTGAGCCGCACATTCTCTTCCTGCAACTCGATTAGTCCCTCCGCAGCCCCCCAACTGGACTTTCTGCAAGGACAAGTGCATAGAGAGTAGGCTGCACAACGAAAAGAATAAAGAGTTAGTTTATTTTCTACTGAAAAAGCAAATATAAGTCCTCGCTGAGGACAGCTCGTTTTACCTGGCTTAGGTGCTGGAAGGATGTGGATATCAGGTCTATGGGGTTGGAGGCCACGAACTGCTCGAATGCCTCCGCGAGCCCACATGTAACGCCCCACTTGAGGTACGTAGCTAAGTTATGGTGTATTTCTATGAGTATCCTAGTATGAAGCAGTTATTACATTTTTCTCAAAATAACTTTAACCAAACTTCAATTAATCATCATACAACCAAAACCACTTCTCATGGCTAAATTCTATTCATCAATAATCATCAAACTCATCAATAATTCATCAATTTCATCAAAAATTCTCAAAATCATAAACATATATATACATATATATATATATATACATATATATATATACATATGTATATGTATATATATACATACATATATATTATATAATATTATATATATATAATATATATATATATATATATATATATATATATATATATATATTATATATATATATATAATATATATATATATTATATATATATATATTATATATATATATATATATATATATATATATATAATATATATTCTATATAATGTAATAACTGCTTCATACTAGGATACTCATAGAAATACACCATAACTTAGCTACGTACCTCAAGTGGGGTGTTGCACCACACTCCAGCAGTGTGAAAACTACCAGCTGTAGGTGTTATGAAAGTTAGCCCATCGAGTCTAACATGGGCGTACCCATGCCTGCAGCAGGTAGAGTCTCCCCCTCGGGCTCCTTGCCCGACTTCCTTCCTGGACCTACGGCCTCCCTTTGCCTTGATCGCGGACCCTTAGGGGCAATAGAGATGCCGGTTGTGCCCTTGGATGGCCCTCCCAAGTGGAACGCTTGGTAAGGCTATGACCTCTCGAGCTGGATGCCCAGACCCTCGGTTTCGAATTCCGACTCCTCGATCTAAAGTTGCCTCATCTTCTCGGGCCTTTGGGTCGTTGTCTTCTACTTCGAGCGAGCAACCGAAAGCTGGGAAGTGCCTGCAGGTCAAATAGGAGAACCCATCGGTGTCCCTCCAATGGGGGGACCACAGGGAGCTGCTCCAACCAATCCGGTGATGCTAGTCGGGGGAACGAGAACTGCCTTGGTTGCTGCGATCTGGGCATCTTGGGAGGCATGGTTGTTACATGCGAACATCGTTAGCAAAACAGTTTACTGTGTGAAGAATCAAAAAACAGGCTAAGGTTAAGAAGCTTACTCGATGTGGTCTCTAAGGTCACTTTGGGTTTGAAGAAACTATACTTCCACAAATTTGCGGTTGTCACGAGCAGCCTTGCATCGCGACTCTCTTCGGGCAGAAAAACCAAAGGTAGTGATTCTGTCTAGATCCTCGAGGATCGATAACCTAGTCATCTTGTTAACTACGAAGAAACAAAGAGCTCGTTAGCGAAGAACAAAAGTAAGTTCGCAAACTCAAAAAGGAAGGACAACCTACTCGGCTCCCGAAAATGGGAAATGACACGTATCAAAAGAAAAAGAACTTCGTCTCGTACGATCCTACGTTGCTCGGGTAACTATGTATTCCGGCTTCCATCGTAGGATGCTTGGAAAGGTAAAAGGAGTCTATGTCCTTACTTTTCTTCAAGGTGTACGAGCAACCAAGCTCCAACGCGGTTAGCTTGCCTAATCTGTTTTTGCCACACGAGATGTACATAGCCACGACTATCATGTACGCGTTTGGCGTGAGCTACAGCGGTGTGATCCCAAAATGATCAAAGACTGACTTGACAAAAGGGTAGAAATGGATCAACCCTCCACTCTTAAAGATATTCTCGGAGATCATCGCCATTCCTTTTGGCGGGTTCCAAGCTGTGTATGACCTATGATGGAAGACCTCCAAGCTGAAAGCGTATTGGTCTACCACCTTTTGAATCTCCTCAGCATTAATCATTGAGAAAATCTCTTGAGGGGCGCCTGCTAGAGCATCTTGCATAGGCGAGCTGGTTCCCTCCTCGGTTCTGGTCATTGGGGAGTCCATTCCTCTATGGTCTGAAAAAAGCGACATGCAGGAATCACTCAGTCGTCGTACACTTTTTCGTATGATGACGTGGAGGAAAAAATAAAAGCTTCCTCCTTTAAACCCTAGAAAAAAAACCCTAACAGAATATTTTAGAGCCACCATCAATGGCTCAAACCCAAGGAGAATGTTTCATCTACGATCAACTACCGGTAACCTGTCATCGCATGGCAACTATTAAAAACACGAAATAATAGTAAAAGTGGCAAAGGGACCATCCTTGCCTCTTGAAATGAGAACATTAATCCTCCTGCTTCGAATATCAAAAGCGCACCATTCTAAAAGACAAAGAACCAAGGCTCATGAAAGTTTCTTGCTCTCTCTGAGAAGGTGAGTATTGTGACATTGCCTGAAGTGAGCTTAGGGTTTTATAGTGAAGGAAGTGGCGCTTTGGTTTCCCGAAGTCAGATGACGTTTGGGTAGAAAACGCATCTGACCATTGATCGCGACCACGTGTCACGAATAAGCAAAGAAGAGTGACCGTCACACTTCGAAAAACCAAATCGTCATTCTCTTTCATTGAAACACTCAAGCGATGGCTCGTTTCCCTCCTCCACATTAAATGCGCCCATGACCGCATTTAATGGGCTGATAGGGAATGTCGTTTCAGCATGGCTCGCATTTAATGCACATGATTGGCACTTATTGCGCACAAGACACGTCTGTCAAAACAAAAGGTGTTCCATCAATGCATCAGTTACAAAAGTGCAACGGATAATATCTGAAGAGGTCGTTACATAAAACACTCTTCACCTTATGTCAGTCGCGAAGCAACGTGATTCTTCGAACTCATCTCGTATCGGTCGTGAAGCGACGTGATTCTTCGACCTCATCTCGTGTCAGTCGCGAAGCAACGTGATTTTTCGATCTCGTCTCATGTCAGTCGAGAGGCGACGTGACTCTTCGATCTCGTCTTGCATCAATCACAAGGTGACGTGACTCGACATATATCAATTGCAAAGCAACGTGATCCTTTGCCATCAATAAAAATCCTGCTAGTGTAAACAGGTCTTGAACTTCGGCTTAGGTCGAAATCACCATTATGGCACTGGATAAGGTCTAAAAAGCAGGTCGTTGACGCTTGAGTAAAGATCATTCCAGGTCACCTGCATGAAAATGTTTTCTCAATCTCTTTGCAACCAGGTCGGATCGACCAGCATCTCTTCGACACATCAGATCAAGGCATAATTACGTAGTTTCCAAGGTTCGATTCTCAAACCTTAAAAACTGGAGGACTTCTGTTATGCTTGAAAAAGTAGGGCTGACACAGAGCCCTGTCAACATAAGCAGTCAGAGCTTAGGTAAATCTTGTAGCCATTCAAACGCAGTCACATTGCGTGCTGACATGAGCAACATGCTCCTACCAGTGCAGCGGGTGTGCGCCAGAATAACGAAAGGCTGGAGGTGCTCCACGTGTCTAATCCTTGCACATGTTGAGTAAATCACTTGAACAGGTGAGCAACGAGACACAAGAAAGGATTTGCACAGCAGCCTAACCCACTCCCAGATCCAGTAATCATCACCTTGATTCATCCCACTATAAATAGAGGGCTCCTCTCCCGTTTGTGGGATTAGCTAATTTCTCTCTGGAATAGCATACATGTTCTCTCTCTCTCTCTCTCTCTCTCTCTCTCTCTCTCTCTCTTTTGTAATCACTTGTTAGTCAGCTCACCGAGCGTGACCTGACCTCATATATTAATACAATACTAGTGGACATAGGATTCGCTTATTTAAGCATCCGAACCACTTTAAATATTGTTTCTTCATCTTTTACTCATTTCAATCTCCCATACACATGTGTTTTCTAAGTCAACTTAGCATTTCCCATGTGCGTTTAGTCGGTGTCAAAATCAAGTATCAACAATATTTGAGAACCTTGACGCCTGAGGTTGCAATTAGCACTGCTTGGTCACTATTGTTGTCAGCATCAAAATGATAATTTGTTTCTGCCATACATAAAAAATATGCTATGCTGATGCTGCTTCACTTTTCTCTCCCAAAATTGGCAGAAGTCTAAGAAATTGCAGCTTGCAGGGAGCCGTTCCTGATCTTAGCAGGATTCCAAGGCTTTACTATCTGTAAGTTTGAGTATTTCACTTTCAGTAGGATGCATTAACTCTTGAGTTTTGATTTATTTATTTCCATTCTAGATAACTACAAAATTTAACTTATATTCAATTGTTACGGGGCTCATGTGACAGGGATCTTAGCAGGAATCAGCTTACTGGACCCATACCATCAAATAAGCTTTCTGATGATATAACAACCATGTATGTAATGGCATCATAAATTTATCACTCATTTTGTTCAAAATAGATAAGTAAAATGGAGAGGATGTCAGAGTAATTTTACCTTTGTCATTGCAGTGATCTGTCAGAAAACAGTCTTAATGGATCAATCCCAGCAAGTTTCTCAGATCTTCCTTCTCTTCAGAGACTGTGAGAATATATTTACTTCTAATTATTCCTTGTCATTTCCTGTTTTGGAATTACAATTATGAATTATTATTTAGACCATTTCTTAATGATGATTGAATTATCTAATCTAAATATGATTTTCAAATTATCTTCTACTTCAGGTCACTTGATAACAATTTTTTGGATGGTTCTATCCCGGCTAGCATATGGCAGAACATGTCCGTGAGTTCAAGTGCTAGACTGTCACTGTAAGATCTCCAAAAAGAAACTTTGAGTTATTATTTGCTGTTATGCTTCACTGATTCCCTGCTGATTTACAACGGCTCATTGACAACCCATTATTCTGAAATTGAATTAAGTTTTCTTATTTGTTAATTTTTGGAGTGAGCTTCATCGGTTTTAAAAGTCTGGCTCTGTAAACCATATCTCATGCCAATCATTTATCTTTGTACATTCAAAATGCAGTGATCTGAGGAACAATAATTTCTCAAGCGTTTTAGGAGATCTAAATCCTCCAAACAATGTCACACTAAGGTATGCTGCTTTCTTATTATATACATCATTATATGTTCTGCTAGTTAATTACACTGCATGAATGAGGATTTTGCATGGTTGGACATCTTGGACTTTGCAGGTATGACATTTTCATAAAAACCAGACTAATGATATGGCAATTTCAAGATTCTGAACTTGAGTGATTTTATCTTGATGCATTGCATGTGCGACAATCAAGGACTCAGTTTGTCTACTAACAATCTAATATAAAATCTGCTTAAATAGATAAATTTATAAACTTATGCCTCTGTATAGTGGTTAGATTTGTTGCTCATAATGACCTGCTATAGGACAGGCCAACAAGCATATCTCTATGGAGATGGAAATGATACAACTAGCTTTTCTAATGTTTGAATATTGTATGATGTATCGACAAGATAACTATTGCTTGACTAAGAAATAGCTATCAGCTTTTGCTTGCCCCTGGCAAATAATGAACCATGCAAGTATTCCTTTTCAAAGTCCGGCATAATTTCTTTCTATTCAATGTCCTAGAAACGGCATGCAAATGCATGGAGAAAATTTATAGTGTATTTGTTTATTGATTTTTGTCCTTTTTACTGTTTAATCTTCTATTTTCTTTCCAGTTATTCTGGTCATCATGAAAACTACAAATACTTTATTAATGGAAAAGCTATACTGCATATTGGTCCTTAATTTTGCCACTCATTTCTCACCATATTAGCGGTTTATTTTTAGGCTCGGCGGCAATCCTATCTGCACAAGTGCAAACATACCAAACATAGACCAATTCTGTGATTCTGAAGCAGAAGACGATGAGACAATTACAAATTCCACCAATTCAAAATGTCCTATTGAGGCATGTCCTACAGATATTTTCTACGAATATGTCCCAGCATCTGGTGATTTATGTACCTGTGCAGCACCTCTGAGAATTGAATACCGGCTGAAAAGTCCTAGTTTCTCTTATTTCGATCCATATGCCAACCTTTTTGAAGCATACGTGACTAGTTCTCTCAACTTAAGCATTTATCAACTATCAGTTGATTCAATTGCTTGGGAGAAAGGACCTCGTCTAAGGATGTATTTGAAGCTGTTTCCTCATGCCAACTCAAGTACGTTTAATACAAGTGAGGTGCAGCGAATTAGAGACATATTTACATCCTGGAAATTTCCTGGTGATGACCTATTTGGACCTTATGAGCTGCTCAACTTCACTCTCCTGGGACCTTATGCCAGTAGTATGTATCTAAGCCTGCCATTGCTCTTTAATTTGTTCTAAAAAAAACTTTAGCCTTAAGTAGACTTTACTATGGATACACTGAGCTTGGAATTGATAGATTTAGTAGTTCTGTTTATATTTAATTGCCTTTCTGCATGTTGCAATGATAAATGCTGTCTTAATTTATACTTATGATTTCTTCACTGCTACAGTAAATCCTGAGACTCAAAGGACAGGTATTAGTAAAGGTGTTTTGGCAGCAATTGTAGTAGCAGCCATTGCCAGTGCTGTGGTAATATCTGCAGCCGTAACATTTCTGATGACAAGAAGACATGCCAGAAATCAGCGCTCCCTGTCAAGAAGGCGGATGTGTGAGTTTTCTAATACAACTACCTATATTGATTTCTGCAACTCCTTCAATATTAACATACTATTGGGAAAGAAGTGTGAAGTTCCTTATGCTTTGCAGCCACAAAGGTTTCAATGAAAATTGATGGAGTGAAGGGCTTCAAGTTCAAAGAATTGGCATCGGCAACTGACAACTTTAACCGCTCAACTCAAGTTGGTCAAGGAGGTTATGGAAAGGTTTATAAAGGCATTTTATCTGACAATACAGTAGTCGCCATAAAACGAGCAGAAGAAGGATCTTTACAGGGCCAAAAAGAATTCTTGACTGAGATAAAATTATTGTCAAGGTTACATCATCGGAACCTGGTTTCTTTGTTGGGCTACTGTGATGAAGAAGAGGAGCAGGTATGTTCTTCTAGATGCCAAGACATATCTGATTTATGGATGTTTTACCCAAGAAAAAATTAGGTCTATAAAAATTTGTTAAATCACAGATATGAACTACCTGCTTGTGTTCTTGGTACTTCTGCAGATGCTGGTGTATGAGTTCATGCCTAATGGCACCTTGAGAGACTGGCTTTCTGGTATGAAAATTTTCAGGATCTGTGGTTATTAACCCCTTCTATTTTTATTTTCCGGGCTCAAAATTTGATGTTGAAGATCAAATGCAGGTAAAGCTAAAGCATGCCTTAATTTTGGTATGAGGGTCCGCACTGCATTAGATTCAGCTAAGGGGATTCTTTACCTCCATACTGAAGCAAACCCGCCTGTGTTCCACCGAGATATCAAAGCCAGCAACATACTTCTTGACTCCAAGTTTATTGCTAAAGTTGCTGATTTTGGACTCTCACGACTTGCTCCGGTCCTAGATGATGAAGGAACCATGCCAACTCATGTTTCCACAATTGTCAAGGGAACACCAGTAAGTTTGAATCTGTTAACATTGTTCATTCACATGTTCAAGGATCATAAAGCTTTTCGAAATTAATCTTTCTCAACAAATATCCAACTTCATTGTAAGTCTTGGCCAATTTTTATTCCTGCCTCAAGTTACATATTTATTGATCTTGTACATGCAGGGCTACCTCGATCCAGAATATTTTCTAACTCACAAGTTGACAGATAAAAGTGATGTTTATAGCCTCGGAGTTGTACTCCTGGAGCTCTTGACGGGTATGCAACCAATATCACATGGAAAAAACATAGTTCGCGAGGTACTTTCTAACACAGAGAACTCTTTCCTGAATATCTATTCCCTGTTGCATACCTTTCTTACGAGAAAACGAAACCTATATCCAGGTGAATGTAGCTCGTGAATCGGGCTTGATGCTCTCCATCATAGACAATAGAATGGGGTCTTGCCCATCTGAATGCATCCAGAGGTTTTTAGCTTTGGCCCTCAATTGTTGCCATGACAAGACAGAACGACGGCCATCCATGTCAGATGTAGTGAGGGAGCTAGAAACCATACTGAAGATGATACCAGAAACTGATGCCACATTTTCTGAATCCACCTCAATGCATTCTGGCAGCAAATCAACATCAGCATCAGCTTCTTCATCGTTCATGACGAGGGATCAATATTTTTCATCTAATGTACTAGGCAGTGACCTTGTGAGTGGTGTCATTCCCACCATTTCACCTCGTTAACACCCTGAAAAGGAGTTTTAATATGGTTTTTCATGTGCAGTAGTAGTTTTAGCATGAGGAATATGTAACTTGGATCTTGCCCTTGTTTAAAATTCCATTCTGAAATAGTTATATATATTAGTGAAACAGTGTATATTCATTAGAGTTTTTGCAGGCTCATTATGTTTCCTGAGTACTGAACTCCACACAAGAGTTAAATGAACTTCGAAGGAATGAATCATATTAAATTTTACTATCGTAGAAATTTGCTTTTGTCTTATATATGGTGTATATTTTTTATTTGAATACTCGATTTTTTTTTAGCTTTTAAGAGTGAGTTCTCTCCATAATATTGGATGCAAGACATATTAGGTTTAGACTTTAACCTAATATGTCGCATTTATCTCGCATTATACTTTACGTTATGACAAGGGGGCATTTATCTTGATAATTAGTCGCGTGTAAGTTGGTCTAAATATAATATGATATTAATAATAATAAATACACAAAAATAAAATAAAATACCAAAAAATATAAAATATAAAAAGACCTTAAAGAATCTTATATTATATCTTAGCTATTGATAAAAGATGAAAAACAAATTTGGATAAAAATAAATTGATCTTATACAATACCAATTAGGGGTAAGTGAGTCTAGGTATCTTACATTTTTCAGGGGAACCAAAATCGAAACCGCACAGTACAGGTTCCCCAAAAAAATGAATCAGAACCTAAAATACAGGTTTCGAATCCTTACCCAAGTACCCTGTAAAAAATTAATTACCCCCTATTAGTTTAAAAAATGAAAAAAAACACCTTAAAAGTTTACAAATACACCCCTAACAAATTAAGAAAACCTACATTTAGTAGTTTTTCAACTTTTGATTACTCATTCATTTGTGTCCAATGTGACTCATAAATCCTCTAATCTCTAGATAATACTTTAATTCAATCAATTCATCACAATTCACATAAAATTTCTTAATCAAAACCAAAACGCAAACAGGTTCCAAGTCGGGTGCCCGCTTCAGGTTCTTTTCTCAGGTTCCAGTTTTGGTTTCGAAACCTATAGGAATCAGAACCGGGATCGCACAGTATCGGTTCTAATAAAATGGAATCGGAACCTACCCGCATTGAGTCGGTTTCGGGTAGGTTCCAATTCTGGTTCTACTCGCAGGTTCCAGTTATACCCACTACCCGTGCTCACCCCTATTACCAATAATTTAAAAACTTCGTTTTAAAATTGACATAAAAAGAAAAAAAAAAAAAAAAAGGAAATCCTATTAATAATATTAATTTACAATAAACAAAAATGTAGAGGGCAAAACGGTCCACCGATTAACCAAATGACGAAGTACTTCTGTTGACTTTCTAAAGTCTCTATGCCTTGTCTGAAAACCGCTTTGTTATGTTTGTACTGGATAATGTTATGTGCACTAACAAAAAACCATACAACCCAAGTACTAACTGACTTGACATACCTCTTTATTGCCACGTCAGTTCCCCCCAAAAATAAAAATAAAAAATTTCAAAATTTCAATTGTTAGTACTTGGATTAGTACAATTTAGTTAGTGTACATAACATTACTCATTTGTACTTATAGACTGTAGCACGAGAAGTGGTATTGAGTTTGGTGGTTTTGGGATCCTTTCCTGAAAACAGCATTCCATGATTTATCATAATATTAATTTTTTTTAATTAATTCTACACTCTTTTTCACTTCACGTTCTTATTATTATTAAAAAAAGAGTAATGTTATAGTTATCAAAGATTATACATTGAATTTGTACATTAAATAAGATGATAAAATTCTGATTATTAATTTATTATCAACTAATATTAATCTATTTACTATGTCATTCGATATACAGATTTAGTACATAACCTTTCGATGGCTTTATGATTTTCCTTACAAAAATGATAAAAACTTTATCTGCAGAAAGATCAATTTGGGTTTATTCCTTGGAACCTACTCCACTCTGTCTCGTTCAATTGAAAGGTCTGTGTCAACTGTCAATCAATCAAACATTTATCTAAATTGGTACGTGATATTTTCTCAAGAAAGTCGATATCAATGCTTCACATGTATTGGAATTGGTCTCTATCACGTTACTAATCTTCACATGCTTGTCCATTTCACCATCAATTTTACCACGTTCCTTGCTATACTCCTAATTATACGGTGTTCTCTTAATTCTTACATCCACATAATTCTAACAGCTTCCTCTTTATTGACTTAGAAGTCAATTACAGAGTATATATACAGCTCATTATAGGTCTTTTTTATCACATTTTCATTTAGTGTTCTTCATTGACTTAGAAGTCAATTACAGAGTATGCATACAGCTCATTATGAGTTATTTTTATCACATTTTCATTTAGTGTTTCATATATATCTTGTACATGAAATGACAACAGTATCCCTTGACAATTTGATTGACATTGAAATGACAAAAGCGTTCTAGGAAAATCCTCAATCCACACCATTTTTGAATAAATAAAAGATTAAAGTCATGATTAAAAAAAAAAATACTTGTGAATTAATTTATTTGTAGGATATAAAACATTGAGATATTTATTCATAGGATTTATTATGAATTTTAATAATATATAATAAGAAAACTTTTTATCCATTGAACACGCTATCAACATTCATAAAATTTGATAATCAAAAAGAAAATATCTCAAGACCTTGACCCATTTGCACATTGAACACGTTATCTGCTTTATTATCTGCTTTTATCATTCAAATAAACTCACATCATTGGAAGGATTTATCACACGTTAATATAAATTTACAATTTAACGAGATAATGAGATAATACTGCACTAAATATAAACTAATATTGTCTTTTGTTTATTACATAAAATCATATTGTTTTATATTTAATATGTTTAGAATATTGAATTAAAATTAAAACTTGTACCAAATAATAATTAAGAACTTTAACTAGAAATTAAAAAAGTAAAGAAAAAAGAAACGAACATTTTAAAAGTATATAAATGAATAATTCTTTTAATAGAAACTGATGCATTTTAAAATGATTAAATATTATTTATAACATTAAGAAACATTTTGACTTCAGTTGATTGAGTTTTGGCTTCATGCTTCAAGGTTTCGGATTCACATATTTTAATTGACTCTTTCTCAAGTAAGATATTATCTTCCAGTTGACTGATTCATGTTTGGCCAGAATTATCTTTATCTTGCACTCAGGAAGGAGACAAGTCAACTAATGATAGCTAAGTAATTCTATAAGACTTAGCATTCTGATAGGAAACTTGAGTTGATTGTTCACTTTCCCCTTTCCAGGCTTCCTACACTTCTGGGGTTCAAATGCTCACTCTTTTGTTGGAAGTAAATGTCTGTAATCCAAATATATTGTCACTTGCATTTGCTTTTTGCTTGGTCACTTTTGTAGATTATCAAGTGATGGGGAAGAGATTTTGTGGACTTGTTTATGCGTGGTGTATGGTTACTTGGTGCTTTTTGCAGTTGCTCAGATTACGATCCTTCGAAGGTGAATCTTACTGCAAGTTTATAGTTTTTTCTTTTCAGTTTTCTTCAATGTCTCCCACTACTAAGTTTTGATATCTAGTTTTCTCATCTAAAGAAGTTCAATGTTATTGAAAATATGTAATAGTGTTAAGTGTCTTATTGAAGTTCAATGTTTTGCTCCGAGAAGATGGCATACTGCTTAACTAGTGTATGTGAGTGTGACATCTTATTCAAGGATAATCAATTATGAAAAGAGAATGAATTTAGGAGTTGGGCTGTATGAATTTAGAAGTTGCCTTATCCCATGATTTATATTTGCTCATGTCCATTTGCAGTCAGCGCATTGGGAGCAGTCTGAGCAGATTAATTGATCCTATGAACCATCTCGGAAACTGGAACGAGGGAGATCCATGCCTATCAAATTGGACCGGAGTTTTATGTTGACACAATTGATGAGACTGAGGTTACTTGCATGTTCAGAATCTGTATGTCCTTTCCATACCCTTTTCACCATTTCATGCTTGCTATCTTGCTGTCAATGATTTTTCAATCTTTAAATTCTAAAGATGTGACAATTAATGATACTGAACATTTTCGATACAGGCATTCTCTGACATGAATCTTTCGGGAAGTTTAGCGCCTGAGCTTGGCCAGCTATCTCGTCTTCGAATATTGTGAGGCAAAATTTACATAAGTTGATATCTTGAGAAAACTGAATTATATTGTATCTTCCAAGTTAATCAATGCAGTGTTGCTAATGCTTTTCTCGATTTTGTCCGCTGGCAGGAATTTCATGTGGAATGATCTGCAGGAAGCATACCAAAGGAGATAGGGAATATATCATCTTTACTACTCTTGTAAGTTATAGATGCAGGTGTTTATTAATTATTTACATCAAATATGATACTATTTGAAACAATATATTTGTGTTGGTTTAATATTACGTGATGTACATGCGTGTGCAGACTCTTGAATGGAAACAGATTATCAGGATCTTTACCGGAAGAGCTAGGCAAGCTTTCAAACTTGAACAGACTCCAAGTAGACGAGAACAATATCTCGGGCACTATACCAAAATCATTCGCTAACATGCAGTATGAGACAATTGTAAGTGGATCATCAATCCATAGGCTAGTTCCATTCGGCAAGGCAGTTATTTTGTTCTATGATATATCTGAATATTGCAGTCACTTGAACAACAATTCAATTGTTGGTCAACTTCCACCTGAGCTTTTCAATTTATCCAGACTTATCACTTGTGAGTTCATACAGATTTGCTTTTATTGTTATTCTCTGCTGTAACATTTCTTGTTGGACGATTTTTCTGGTTAAAGCTGTTATCTGATCAGAGAGATTTGTAGTTCATTAACACATGCTTGCAGGCTTGTGGTAAATAACTTGACTGGATCTCTCCACCAGAATACTCAGAGTTGCCAACATTGCGCATACTGTATTTTCCTCTGCCCTGCTATTCATAACTGCAATTTGGTAGGCTGTCTTGTCGTCTTAATTAACTGGGTTTGTAGCAGGGCCCAAAACTTATCATACACAGGGAGGTATTATCATAGGCAATGTTTTGATAACTACATGGAGGAGAAACCCATAAAAGTTGTCAGG